GGTGATCAAATTATATTAAATAGCAATTTCTAAAATGTTATTCTTGGTGGAGTGTCTGAAATTCCACAAAAGGGGACAAAAAGCCTCTAAAATCTTTGAGTATAATTAGCTTCTTTGATTTCCAATTCTTGTTTTGATAACTAGACAAGAGATAAAAATTTGCTACGTAAACAGATATGCTAAAATGAAACAACGCATGTGGCCACTTGACAAGCATAATTCAAGAAAATAATAATTTAGAAAATTATTTTCCATAAACTTCCCTGGAAATTAAAAATATTTATAATACTTCCACTTAGCAGTCACTGGCCCAATCATTTTGTCTCCTGAAACAATACATAAGTGATCATTTTTCCAATTTTAATTTGTTCTAACCTAGTTTATCATGTTTACCACTTACTAATACCACTCATTGTCCCCTGAATTCCCCATGTATCACGTTTCCTAAGTCCACTCAGGCTACCAAACTGTGTGTTACCTGCAGCTGCCCCATTTTTCTCTGATGCCTTATAATTCAGTTCCCCCTAACCTCCCAGAGCTGTATTCAAATGCATGCTACAAAAGAGCTTATTTCTATTCCTTGGATTCCTGGTGATAACATCTTTTACCCCCTGTTATGGTTTCTAGGAAATTTACATTATGTACTTCTTTTCAAACAGAATTATTTCCTTTAATGGATTCTGTCTTCCCATCCTCACAGTTCTCTTAAAGAATGTCATACCCAGTTCGTGAATTCCTAGTAAATCAAGTTGCCTTAAGAGAGCATGTTGACTGAGACAATCTTGAATCCAAAAAGTGTTATTAAGTCCTCTAAGTCATTCTGCACTCGTAGCATGTCAAAGGATTAAATTGTGATCTTCAGACTCATACTCTCCTATTCCCAAGCCACCACTAGCTCAATTTCTCATTTTTAAGTTCTATTTTGTTTTATGTCATTGTACAGTCTACTAAAACCTTGCTAACACTTTATTGCTTCAGGTCAGTGAGTCACCAATATGTACTAAGAGCAACGAAGGACTACCAAGGAGATGGAACACATCCCTCAATATCACAGGGCTTATCACCAAGCTGAGGAAACAGACATACACAAATGAAATAATAATATCCCCTCAGACATGCACAATTCTACAAACAAAAATCATTCATATCTGTTTTCCCATCTATTCCTTAAAACCGTTGTGTGAAGTAAAAAAGTCAAGCATTCCTTCCCTTTTTTTTACAGATATGGAAACTGAGACCCAGAATCACCATCCCAAAGACTCACAACAAACATGTCCTAAAGAAGGCCTCCAATAATTGAAAGAGAAAGTTAAAAATAATATGGAGCCAAAATATAAGACAATACTAGTTTGAAAGATGAGAAGGTAAACAGAAGCCCTTGATTTATTTAGAAGGGCAAAGATACTCATAAGTCAAATACTGATGCTAAAAATATTAAGAGTAATCAATTAACAGAAAAACTTCTAATCCTGTAGAGGAAATCCAGGAGATTTAAAAAATTCAATCAATCCAAAAGACAGCAGAAAAGAAGCAAAAATAAAAACAGAGAAAAGTGAAGAAAAAGCATTTTACAATGGAAAATAAGATGCTCTAAGAAAATCAAAAGGTAATTAATTACAATAAGTGTAAACAGACTAAACTTCCCAGTTAGAAAGACTCTTAGAATGTATAGACTATTTATAAAAGACACAACTAGAGTATAATAATCTAGAATGATAAAAAGTTAAATAATAGAAATACATATATCAAAGAGTATACAAATGCTAGTTTAGCTCTATTAGTATTAAGCCAAAAAGACTTTAAGCAAAATGAAAGCATTATTAGTTACAAGAAAAGGTGGAAAATAATGTTGAGAAAATCTTCCAGAAAGTACAGCAAAAATATAAAGGATTGGAAAATAGGGAAGAAAAAAAAAGGAATCAGAGGAGAAGTCTAGTAGGTATAAGAACAAAAGGAATTCCAGCAAGAGAGAGAATGGAAAAGAGGGGAGAAAGGGATGGAGAAAATCATCATAAGAAAAAAATCAAAACAGAAGACATGCTTTTCTAGATTGAAAAAGGCTACCCAGTCAGTACCCAGCAAAACTGATGAAAATGGGACTTACACTAAAGCATATTACTGGAAAGATTCAGAACCCTGGACAGAGAAGATACATCAAATTTCCAGAAAGAGAAAACCGGTCACAATGGTTTAAAGTTTCTTAAGAGAATTATTAGAAGGTAGACTGTAATGGCACTGTGTCTTTCAAAATCTGAGGAGAAATTATCTCTGGCCTAGGATGTTACAGCTAGCCAAACTGTCCATCAGGTGGGAGGGTAGAGTGTAGAGAGATCTGTTTAAGAAAATGATGTTGATAGAATATTACTTGTATCAATGTACTGGAGGGAGGTTTAGACAACTGGCATAGAGCTTAAGGACTGAGTTAGTGATTAGTACATAAAACTAAGCAAATGATAAAACCAACTCTCAGGAAAATGGAAAGTGCAGAAAAGGAAAAGTAATCACAGCATGCTGAAGGTTCAGCTACAAATAGCATATTTGTAGTACTAATGATATAAATACCTACTATTTATGGAACCAAAAGGATGGTATACCTGTATTGTGAGAATGAGGTGATGGAAATAGTGCATATATACAGTTAGGGCAGGGAGAAAGAGGCTAAAACTTCAAATTCCATAGTGAGAAGTCAAAGACAAGTCCTAAAATTGAAAAACCAAGAGGTAGGTACATAATCTTGCTGTTTGGTGATGGAAGCAAATAACAAAGAATCCCTTAAACAAGGGGATTGCCCCTAGTGGTTGCCCCTAGTGTCTTCTCTTTTTTTAAAATGAGATATTGCCAATTATTCTTCATGGAAGTTTTACCAACATTCCCTTCAGCAATGTATGAGAGGCCTCACCCCATCGCTTCATCAGTTCAGGTCCCCGACAGAGTAATGCCAAGTCAGGGTTAGATATGCAAGACCTTTACTGAGATAAATGCCTATGAAGGAGAAACGGAGGAGGGAGGAGCCTTCAGACCACAATGCCATTTGAAACCTGTGAAGAGGGGAGGAAGAATTGTGTAGAAAGAGCCTCAACCACAGCCCAGGTAAATGGGGAGTCCCAGAGCAAAAGTTGCTCAATAGAGGAGCTCTTTATTGAGCAGGAGTAAACTAATCATAATGTTACCACCATTCTTAGTCACTGGCTGGGCACAATGTTGGGGAAATATGGCTTCGATGTGTGACCTGCAGCAGATCAGAAAACCATAGCAGGTGTCAGTCAACTGTGTTCAGTGGTGTGTTGGTAAATGACTAACAACTAATTCCACAGAAAGTTAAAGAAAAGTTTTTATTCATAGCATTTGTGACTTTCTGGGTGTAAATACTCCCATTGTGGCCAGTTTCAAGCTACCAGTGTGATAGTGTGATATCACTGAATGCCAATGAATGATTGGCTTTCCCAGACCAGGAGCCACTTCCAGGAATCCCCTAACTGTGCTCCATGCAGCAGGTTTTCATGAAAGGAGATCTGAGCAGTGCACATCCTTAGCCACCTTCTCACCAATCTAGTGTGTGTGGTAAATGATGGTATGTCAGTGTAGTTTGTAGGTTTACTTTGCATTTTCCTTAATATTAGTAAGTCTGAGGATCTCTTCATGTATTTGTATGGTATATTAAATGCATTTATTATTATGTACTGTTTAATGTATTCACTTTTCTATGAATTAAACCAATCTTTTAATTATTTTTATTAAAATCTTTATGCCTATGTTCTAAATAATGGAAATCTTAATGCATTGATCTTAATATATTAATCCATTTAGTAAGTGAACATATAAATACTACTTATTATCTTCTTATCATATGATTAGCATTTTCAAAATTAACCCCTCTCAACCCTTCCAGAAGGTAAACAGGGAAGAAATAAATATACCTTAAAAAGCTTGATGTAGGTAAAATCTAAAATTAGAAAACAAATTACTACGATTCCTTTTTTTCCCCCTATTTTTAAAGTAACAATTACGTGTACAGCATCAAAATACAATGTCTATACTTAACTTTCAGGGAAATATTTTTAATATCATTAAAGTGGATTGAATGCAGAAATTTTATGGAAAAAGTTACTGAAGAAAAGTTGTAAACTACTTCCCAAATACACACACGATGACAACAATGTAGTGCAGAATTTTCCATCTGAACAGTCTATGAGGACAGAGTAAAATCTTCAGGGAAATTAAGTTTGTAGTTATTATTATGAACATATTTTAATAATAGATACATTCTATATTGACTCATTTATATACATCCTTCGTGTAGCAAGTTGAAAATCATCCACTACTAGGTTAGAAGCTAAGAAGCTCTGAATAAAATGGTCTTCCAAGATATTACACGTTTTAAGTATTTCTCATTGTGCAGATAACATTGAATAAGCAGAATCTTGAATGTGACCAGACATCAGAAGTCATCCAATATAGTCTCTAATCACAAATGTACTTAGACAAAATTTAAAGCAAAAACTATAAAAAAGAAACCAAAAAGGCAAAAATTCAAGAATTTTTCTTCCATAAAATTTTCTGTATCTTTTTGTTAACTCAAGCACTGCTATCTGGAGGAGGAGGAGTCAAAAGACCTATGGGTGCACAGAGTTTTAAAATGCCACAGTTTTCAAAAAAAAAAACCAAAACACACATCAAAACACATCACCTGTCAATCAATTATCTAGTTCATAAACCATATTTGACTCCAAAGGCTGTGGCTTTTCTTCTCCTCCACCTCTTTCAACCACAACCTCCAACCACAGCCATTTTTCTAGTAATTAGTATTTTCAACCAGAAATCAAGAAAAAAAAGCAGATGAAAATTATAAGGTAATAAAATACGATAATTTACGGCAAGTGTTTAGTAGGATGAAGATGGAAAGTGGTGGCTCAAAAGAAGTTTGGATTATCTGTAAACTCCTTTTATCCTAATTTTCTCGAAACATGTGATTCAAGTACTAAAAAGAAAAAGAAACTTACCTCATCAACATTTTCAAAGGCATTGATGATGTCATAAGGTAAACAAGACAACAGATCGATCACAAACCAAGTTTTCAGATAGTTCATCCTGATCAACTTGGGGTCAGAAATGACCTCTCCACCAGGTCCCACAAAGGTCGTGTGAAAATTTAGAACAATGTCAACCAGAAAAATAACATCCACCACACTGTCCAGCACCAGCCAGGCTATGTTGTTCTGCTTCGTTTTGAAGGAAACGTTATAAGGAACCATAATGGCGGTGTAGAAGGTAAGAATTAAAATCACCCAATCCCAAGTTGTTTTAAAAGCACAATAGTGTAAAATAATGTGTGGCGGCGTCTTTGGCGCTTCTTGCTTGTACTGAGGAAGGATATCTGATCCCAGCTGAAGAACCTAAAAGAGAGAAAATGTATATATAATGACCCGGACATCTCTGCACAGTTAGTAATGAATTCAAATTTACTGGCAGCCAAACCACAGCCTATTAATCATGACTCCTGGTTTCAAGGCCAGTCAGGCTCTGTAGTTTCATCTCCCTCTTCTCCTAAGTTATATCAAGGTTTGTTCAAAGTCACTCCATGTCCAGTCTCTCTACCAAAGTTGATCTGTCTGCTATTCCCTCTGGCTTTCTCTCCAGTGGCCAACTGTTGTTTCAAAAACTGGTCCCCATACATGGAGGGCAGGGAGAGACCAAAGAAAGAGGCAGACCACTCCAGATTGGTAGGTGGCAGTTTTAATATACAAGGGAACTTACTTACAAGGCTTTTTTTTTTTTTTTTTTTTTTGCTGTACGCGGGCTTCTCACTGTTGTGGCTTCTCCCGTTGCGGAGCACAGGCTCCGGACGCGCAGGCTCAGCGGCCATGGCTCACGGGCCCAGCCGCTTCGCGGCACGTGGGATCTTCCCAGACCGCGGCACGAACCCGTGTCCCCTGCATCGGCAGGTGGACTCTCAACCACTGTGCCACCAGGGAAGCCCCTTACAAGGCTTTCATTGGGCAGCCACAAGACCAGTAGATCTCTGAACCCACCCACCAAATATTAAAAGTTTATACAGAAGCCTTAACTGGGTTCAGTCACGTATAGAGGTGTGACTGAAGGTCACAACAACACCTGAAGGTCTCAACAACACCTTACTCTCTCAAGCCTGCATCCTTGAAAATGGCCCCCATTGTGGGAATGGTAAGCAGAGTATACATTCCAAGGACAAGGGTGGGGGTGAGGAGCCTCCAACTGCCTGGGCCCAGCTGAAGGGTCAACCCGCAGTCCCATGCTCTCGATGACCTCCTCCAGCACCAACACTGATCCACAGCACTGTTGGACACCCACTTCTGCAAGTTCTGCACACTCACTTGGCAGGCTTGCCTAGAATCACACATCTCTCACTGACTGCCCAACTGTTATTTGCATGACTCACCATTATCCATTCTTCACATATTTGGCACCTCAAGGAGCAAAACTTTGATTCTGACGGCCTTGCTGAACCCCAGGGCCCCACTGATGGTGATCTTGCGGTTGTGTGGGACTCAGCCAGGGCCCTAAATGACTGGCACAGCAATATCAGGGGTGTAAATGTTATAACCTGCTTTTCCCTTTTTTCCTTACAATCAGGACTTAAAGAATATTGGATTTCCTGCCCAGAGGCAAATTCCCTTTAGGGGAAAAAAAAAAACAAAACTAAATATTCAGGTTTGCTTCTCCATACCTTTTCGACAAATGGAAAAATTTCAATGTAATGTTATATGAACCTTGACTTACTCTGATTAGGTCTCATTAAAGAGACAATGAGAAAAAGCAGATGACAGAACAAAAGCAGAGGTCTGGGCAACCCTGGGCAAAGGTAACAAACACAGGACTTAGCACTTCCTTCCAGAACCTGGAACATGGAAATTGTGAAAAGGAGTTGAAGCAGCAGGTCAGAGACCTCTGCTCCATGCCATCAATGAAGCTAAAGCTGAGTAAACCTATGTATTAAGGAGTTTGTAAGTGGGACTTTGATAAACAATGTTTTCAGCAGCTCTACCATCTTATGCATCCAAGTATGTAGTGTCCCTAGGACTAATGGGACCCAGAAAGTAGGAGTCAACAAGTTCAAATTATAAAATCATAAATGCACTAAATTTGTGAATGTGCAAATAGATGTAAACAAAAACACCTGTTAGCATGTAATTCTTACACTACAAAGCAAAATAAGTATACTAGCATGTTTTGAAACTTGAGAGAGATTTATCCTGAAAAGTCTCTCATAAATAGAACTTACATAACTGAAAACTAAGCATATAATATAATCATTGCTATTTCAAAATGTGAAAAACATCACTGATATTCTCTTTAGGTGTATATTATAACTATTGCTTTAAGTTTGGGAGTTATAAGAACTATTTATAAAGATTTTTACATATTTATCCTCATTATCAGTGCCCCAGTCATACTTTTCCCATAAGGTCTTAAATTACTTAGCAACAAATTATCCTACAGGCAGGTAAGCTTCATGTTGAGACAAAGCATTACATACACAGAATCATACAGAACCACGGCCTCTCTTTCACTTTTCAACCACTGATCTATTCATTCTAATTTCACTGTGTTAAACATGAAAATTTCCTTCATATTCAATGTTAATATTTTACCACAGTCTATAGTTTGAGCACAAAGAAATCGTACTTAGAAAATAAACTCAGTGCCAGGGTACATTAGGACCTTCATGGGTCCTGGGTATTTTTGCCTTCTTAGACCCCTTCCTCCTTAAAAATAATAAAATAAAAATTATATTTTACAACTGTCTTTTTACAAAGATGAATAAATTAATATTATATATTCAAAATTCTTTTACCTAAAAGTTCATTTTTTCCTTCTACTATTAGTAGAAATTCAAACATCATGTGGGCCCTACACACTGTGTTAATAGACAAGTCGGCCCCGCTCAACACCCTGGACAAATGTAAGATGTCTCCTCTAGAGATGGAATGAAATCACTCTTGAGTTCAGTATTTCTTAAATCTGGCTACAAACTAGAATCTTCTGGAGAAGTTTTAAAAACTAAAGTATACTCAGACCCCATGCCAGAAAATAATTAAATTCATCTTGTGTGGGTTCCCAGAGAATCTATATTTTCAAAATCTTTCCAGGTGATTATAATGTACAGTTCAAAATAAAAACCCTTGTCTTATATTTCTTTCGACATTCATAACCCAGTCCTTCGGAAGGTGACTTGCATTCGTAAAGCAATCCAAAACTGCTACAAGAGAAGGAGGAGAATGAGCAGGGAGGCGAGGAGAAGAATGGCAACAACAACAAAGAAAGGGACTCACTATGTGCGGCAGCTTTGAGCTTTCTCATATGCAGAGCACGACTTTAATCTCAGCCCCGTCACTAGGACTCCTTTATAAGGCAGTGAGTAACAACCCTTCGCTTTGTTATTTCATTTGTACTTTCAGGAGCAATAAGCTTTAGGTAGAGGGGGGATGAAATCACATTTACTGATGTATTTTTGTACTGAAACAGATATATGCTTTCTCTCTGAATATCTGAGCTCACTGACTCTAAAGGACTCAGTACCACGGATACAAGTGAGAAGCTGAAGCCAATCAGCACGATGTCAGGACCTGTGGAAAACAGGTGAACTGCCTACATGGAGACCAGGATCTTTGAAAGTGGGGATCAGCTCCAAATTTAGGGGGCCTGGTGGAATTAAGATAAAATTTATATGTGTTGGAAAAAGTGAAAGAGCCTGAAATTTAACAGCAAATCCAAATACTCAAGCTGAACAAATTATATGACTCTGAGTACAACTGGCAAAACTATATCTCTCTGCTAATTTGGCGCTTCTTTTAGGTCAGTCTTTGAAGATCTAAGAGCACATACAGACTAAATCTTTGTTGAAAACCTTCTTATTTCCACATGTTCTCTGAAATCAAGCCTAAGACCTGACAGAAAGCATTTTGGTATTTGAATCAGGTTTGTGAATTAGGGATGACTGATAAAGAAACTAACAATAATCAAAAGGCAAAGCAAAAAAAAGAAAAAAATCAGATGGGAAGAAACAGGAATGAAAGTTCCTCAAAAGTAAAAGTAAAAATGATGAGCTGTCAAGTGGAAAGGAACTTTCCATTTGATATAGAAGAAAAAAACTATCCTGAGTGATTCAGGGTGCTAAGGTAGAACAATTTCCTCTCTATGGTCTCTTTCCTCTTGTTCTTGCCCAACTGTGTTAACAAAGAAAGAAAAACTGAATGAGTTAAGACCCAGTAAGAATCATAACTGCAAAAGTCAGCAGTCACAGAAACAAGCTCCTACACTTTAGCTTGATTTGTAGAAAGCAACGGACAACCGAAGGCAGAAAAGAAAGTAGCTTCAAAATCAAGTAGTACAGGGCTTCCCTGGTGGCGCAGTGGTTAAGAATACACCTGCCAATGCAGGGGACACGGGTTCAAGCCCTGATCCAGGAAGATGTCACATGCCTGCGGAGCAACTAAGCCCATGAGCCACAACTACTGAAGCCTGCGCACCTGGAGTCCGTGCTCCGCAACAAGAGAAGCCACCGCAATGAGAAGCCCACACACCACAACAAAGAGAAGCCTCAGCTCGCCGCAACTAGAGAAAGCCCACGCGCAGCAATGAAGACCCAATGCAGCCAAAAATAAATAAATAAAATAAATTTATTAAAAAAAGAAGATACACGCACCCCAATGTTCATAACAGCACTATTTACAACAGCCAAGACATGGAAACAACCTAAATGTCCATTGACAGATGAATGGATAAAGAAGATGTGGTATATATATACAACGGAATATTAGTCATAAAAAAAGAATGAAATAACGTCATTTGCAACGACCTGGATGGACCTAGAGATTGTCCTATTAAGCGAAGCAAGTCAGACAAAGACAAATATCATATGATATCACTTATATGTAGAATCTAAAATATGATACAAATGAACTTATTTACAAAACAGAAACAGACTCACAGATATAGAAAACAGACTTATGGTTACCAAAGGGGAAAGGTGGGGAAGTGATAAATTAGGAATTTGGGATTAGCAGGCACCACTATATATGAAATAGGTAAACAACAGGTCCTACTGTATATTCAACATCTTATAATAACCTATAATTGAAAGAATATGAAAAAGAGTACATATAATATATATATTATCTATATAATATATATATATATATATATATATAACTAAATCACTTCACTGTACACCGGAAACTAACACAACATTGTAAATCAACTATACTTCAATTAAAAAGAAAAAGATTCACTCAGCCCTGGTATCATCTCATTCAGGTAACCCCTCCCTCCTCTGCTGGATCTTTAACTCCTTGATGATAGGGCCGATGGCCTATTCATCTTTACATCCTTTGCAGAGTACCAAGCATGGAGCAAACACTCAATAAGTGTGTGCTGCACACATAAATTAACAAATGAGTGAACTCCCTACCTCATTTGCTCAAAGAAAACCTCATTCTGTACAGACATCACCTGGGATGTCATAAATTACCTTCCCATTTCCAAAGTAGGAGAGCATAAAAGGAAATATAGGAAATTTCTATAATTCTACAAGGAAAAATCAATTAGCATATAAGTGTTTGTAAAATAACAGCCATTTATAATAGTAAATGTTTCAAATAACTGAAACGTTTGTGGGGGAAAAAATGTATGACCACCACCATGTTGGGAAGTAAAGTTAATCTCACACTTACTTCAGCTAGTCTTGAATGTTTGTGGACCACCTCTGTTTTATTCATTGGCGTGAGCTGTTGCAAAACACTTCGGCTATTTGTCAAAGCCCGTGTCAATCGGGCAAATTTTGTCCAACCTTAAAAATAAGGAAAGAAAGTCTCAGTTTTTCACACGTCATGAATATGGAAGCCTACATTCTTGCTAATATTCAAGGGATCTCAGAAATAGCATAACATGCGGAACTAATGAAAAGTATCAATCTAAAGCACTTAATTTCTACACAGACATCATCATATATTTCAAGTGCAGTTATAAAATAGTAAGTAATTTTCATGTGTGATCTTTGTGTTTTGCTCATGTCTATCATATAGTCCCTATAGCCAGGTAGCTAGTTGTCCACAAGATTCTGTCCTCCCCCTTGCATTGTATAGGTTTGTTACTGGGAAACAGCTGCCCAGCCAGGAATACATTTCCCAGCATTTGTTGCATCTAGGTGTGGGCCTGTCCCTAGTCCTCACCAATGGATTGAGACAGAACTGATGTGTGTCACATCCATGCATGCAATAACTTAAGAAGCAAGTGAAACTTCTCCATACTTTCTCCATCCTTCTACCAGTTGGATGCAAGTGACAAAATCCCAGGGGACGGCAAAGCCACTGAATCAGTGCATAGAAGAACGCCATATGTCAAAGATCAACTTCCTTGGATTGTTATATGAGTAAGAAATATGCTTCTATTGTGTTAAACCACTTAAATTTGGGGGGTTATTTACTATGGCAGGTAGTATTACCCTAATAAGAACAGTCCTATCGTATACTTATGTGAAGATATATACACATAAGAGAATAAAGCCCAATTTCAACAAATCTCACGAACTATGGTTCTTATCACACACCTCCATCTTCTTTGTAACATAGCAAAGGTTCTCTCTTATTAACAATTTCATTGATATTTAAAGATTATTTTTGGAATATCTAGATTCCTTAATAATGTTTTCCAAAAGAGTAGTAACCTTAACTTCTAAGGGGAAGGAATGTGAATTTAATAGGAAAGAAATTTCTTCCATTATTAAAATCATTAATTTTTCATTATTAAGCTAATTAACTTCAAGGAAATGTCAATGAGACATGAACAAGTAGAACAAAACAAGCCATACTCTGCTTGTATCTCAATTATCCTTTCTCTAGGTATCCCAAAAAGCTCTAATCTATTATGGACTCCATTAAGACCATTTGATAGTTTCCATGGTATTACCTTTAACTAGGGTATTTACCAAACAACTCCTTAAAAATGAAAACCCCTGATGGTCCAAAGCAATGACTCTAATGGTAATGATGAACTTTCAAGACAATGTGACAGAAAATGAAAGAAGAAATCCTGGGCAGGCACCAACCAAATGTCTTTCAAACCATACCAGGTAAGTGACATCATACTTTACTGCTATTCTTCAATCTAACTTTGACTTCAATTAGGCTTTGTACTGCCCCACCAATTTAGCTCTTTCTATGGTATCAACAATTGGATTGGGGAAAAAAGTAAACTGGCATTGGTTAATAGAAGATCTTTTATTCTTTTTCATTAATGGGCCCCATCCTAGTGACTAGAACAGAAAATGTTAGGCTTTGGGAATTGTATGCAACCCTAAGGCTTGCCCTGTGCAATGTGCTGGAGAAACAAAGAAGCACCAGATATGCCACCAACTCTTTAAGAATTCAACATCAATGCAAAAGACCATCATGCAATCTATATCACCAACTTAGATTTTTCTTCTAAGCACTAGACCTATGTATCTAATAGGTCATGGCCACCTCTTACTCAGATGTTCTACTCTTAACATGTTCAAAATCAATCTTATCATCACCTTCTCCCCCCATCTCCAACTCTGCATATTTAATGTATTCTTGGTCCTAGTGAATGGCCCCATGATATTTCCAGCTGTCCGAATCAGAAACTTGAGATTCACCATCCTCCTTCACTATTACCTCCACCCCCCACACACATATCCAATCCCTTCCAGGACTTACAGACTATAACTTATCAATAAATACCCTCAAATTTAATCTCCCCTCTCCATCCCTAATATGTTAGACAATATATCATCTTTCACCTGAGTTAGACAGTAGCTCCTAAAAACCATTGCCTCTGCTCTCTGACCACAGACTCTCCAAACAGCTCTGCACATTGCTGCCAGTCCTTTCTACAGCACAAATCTTACCATGCATTTCTCCCATTTTAAGTTCTTTAAGAGATCCCTGGAAGCCTTCAGGGTAACACTGAATATCCTTGGTATACATGTCATTTAGTTTCTGACCCTAAAGATTTGCTCTGCTTCCATCTCCTTCCACTTCTTCATACACGCTCTGTATTCTGGCCTCACTAAAATCAATAACAAATTAAAAGAACAAATGCAAAAGTAAAATTAAATCCACCAGGAATTCTTTGTACACCCTATGACATTCAATGCTTTCATGCTTTCACATGTTATAGCCACTCTGTCTACCTGAAATGCTTTTTCCCTCTCCATCTGTCTGGCTAATGCTTACTGGTACCCCCAAACTCAGTTAAAGCATTCTGAGATCCACTGGTAGCTTCTTGGATCCACTCATGAGAGAGATGCACTCTCCTCTGTGTATTCACACCACAGAATACATACCTCACATGGCACTAACAATACTAATGCAGTTGTTGATAAGCATGTTAGTCACTCCCACTAAACTACCATCACCTCTCCATTCTCAGCACTTGGTAGAGGCCTGCCATAAAATAGGCCTTTAATTGACTGACTAATTAATTAAAAGTTATTTGTAACTTTAAAATAAGATTTAAAAATAAGCTCCATTTGTATTATCATGAACATAAACATGAAATATGTTTTATTATCATTGGGTTTTGGTTTGGTTTTTGCTTTATTGGGTTAAAATGGTGAGGATGTCTTCAGATGACAGTAACTATGTTGGCAACAGTTATATTAAAATATTTCCTGTTGATCATTTCTCTTCTGCATCAAATGAATATTAAAATTGCATTGAATATTTCTAGAAACTTCCAAGTCAATCTTGATTTCAGTTTCTTTTTTTTTTTTTGGCTGTGCTGCAAGGCTTGCAAGATCTTAGTTCCCTGACCAGTGATCAAACCCAGGCCCTCAGCAGTGAAAGGGCAGAGCCCTAACCACTGGACCACCAGGGAATTCCCACAAGTCAATCTTATACTTACTGAAGATTCATATTTCTAAGATAGATAATGTTGCACCTCTTAGTACATCTGATTATTGGATTAAAAGAGAAGCCCAGTTTCATTCCCTGTGTGTGATAAAGTTTATTCAGAAAATATTTTCAAAAAATAAAAGGAGATATTGAAGGAATGAATTCAATAACACATGGAAGAACACAAATCATCAAACGCTATGTGTTCTCTCCTTTTCTAGGATCATAAAAAGAAGTAAACTTGTGAGGAAGGAGAAACATGATGAAAGCTTATTGTCATCCTCTGGTTTTCTATTTCAAGCATCATGAGCACACACTGCTGTTTCTTGATGAGGAAGCAGCAGTTCCTCATTTAAATATGAAACAAATGTGCCTGTGTAGGTGTATCTCATTTTACACATGAAGTCAATAAAATCAAGAAATACTTCATCCCTTTACCTTATTTCAATTTCCTAAAGGAAGAAAAAGTTTTAAAACTGTGAAAATAAAACACCAACATTTTTCTCCATGGTAAAAATAGGACTATCATTGATTAAACAGCAGAATGAAACGGAAAGAAAAATGTTAATTCTTCATTCTAAAAATTTTCACACAGTGTATTCTGAGTGAGACCACCCTTAAATATAGATGAAAAGGGAATTTGCAGCATGATATGACTTTTACGTGCCAGATCTTATTCTTTCTATCCCTGGTTGTCTAGTTCCATGACTGGCACATACTGGGCACTAGAAAATTTTTTGAATGAATGAATGAGAACATTAGTAGAAAAGTTAAATAGAAATTAACACAGCATCCCACATTATATGTAGTTAAAATTAGAATATAAAGAAGGAAATATGTTCAGCTCTTAGCAGATACTAATATAACTCATTGGTATTGTGAAAGAAGGGCTTTGGGTTGGAGAAGGTAGAAACAGTGTGGTAGAGGGTTGAGGAGGAAGTGTGTGGAGGATTATAATTTTTCCCTCAAAAAGAGAAGTTGGGAGCTGCTAACAGACAAAAAAAAAAAAAAAAAAGGTGGTGACAGTTGTCAAACTGACTCAGACTTACTCAAAGAGAGAAGTTTAGGAGGAAATACTTGGGAAGGATTCTTGCTAGAGAAAGCAAAGGCAGTGGTCTAATCAAGTAACCATTTACGAGCTTTGATATCAAAATGCCCTTGGAGCTGGAAAACAAATGCAAAGCTGAGGAATGTTTTGTTTCACGTGTAAATCAAAGGGAGCACAAAAAGATGCACTCCCTGAACTGCTCAGAGATCTTTTTGTCTCTGGTTAGGGCTTCCTTGCAGTCCTCAGTTCTAAACAGTTAGCATTTTTCTCAAGACCCCTATGCCACCCCTCTGTCCTCCCTCTCAGCAGATTAGTTTATCAAATATATTACTGAAAAGCCATAAGATGGGGCAGAGTCAAGATGGCGGAGTAGAAGGATGTGGAGTTAGCATCTCCTCATAACTAGGGCACCTACTAGGCGCTGATGGGAGACCTCGGACACCTAAGGGGATGCGAGGAATCCCCACGTGATGAGGTAAGACGTGGGAAGGAGCGGGGGGAGGAAAAGTGGAGGCAGGATGGGATCAGAACACCTAAGGGGGGGCTGGGGGAGGGGAGAGGTTCCCACACTTGGAGGGGCCCACTAACAGCAAGGGGATCAGCAGGGAAGAAGAGGGACCTTCGGGGGATCGGGGAATCAGAAGGGAACGCAGCCGACGTCTCCTCCACCTGCTTGGGCACTGGCAAGCCTGCTGGGGTCCCGGGCCTGAGCTGCCCACCCCCCTCTGCCCCGCCAAGGCCTCTTCCAGCTGCGTGGGTCCCAGGCCTGAGCCCTGTCTCCCCCAGGGCTCCCTCTGCCCGCGTGGGTCCTGGACCTGAGCCCTGCCTCAGCTGAGGCCTCCGCCGGACGCATGGGTCCCAGCAGACCTCAGTACTGCCCCCCAA